AGATATACTGAAATGACCAATCACGAACGTGCACTGACTGCAAAACATTGACATTTACCTCAAAGTGACCATTGTTGTTACACCGATGGGAGCCGAGCTACATTATTTATGGAAACTTTAGCTTATCTGTATCACAGAATAACATCGCAAAATACTAACTATAAATAGTATCCTACTAACGAAGAGTAATAGAACTAATGCTAGTCATTATTTCTTCCTGATCGATTTTCAATACAAAAAATTCCATTAATTGTCGTATTAAATCGTTGTTTACCCCACAAAAACTTTTCTAGACTATCACAACATAAGTAAAGAATAAATTTTTATTCTGTAGCTACTTTACTGCATAACGATAGCAGATGAATTTAAGAGTTATTCCAACTTTAAATTCCTCATTTTTTACAGTATGAAATGTGAATTTTGTTCATTAAGTTTCTTTCCGCTTTTGCCAAAAGGTTGATATTTTTCCATTCACCGGTGTAATTTATGCGTATATTTTATAATATGTTTTAAAATTTATATCCTCATGTCATATCACCATTGGAACATACATAGAAATTTAATCTGATTTTTTAATTACTTGTCACTCAAACTACTTAAACAAGATACAGATACTAAAGAATAAATATTCAACATTTATATATACATTTTGTAATAAAATATAAACTGATTTCGCAAACACTTTACATTATACGTTATATCTGTATTCTATCGACGATGATCTTTGAACAACATCTCCCTTTGTAATGGTCACATTCGTTACGGTGTAAATAACGCGTGGTTCCAAGGTTCCATTCGATAGTTACATTTGCTCCGAAATCGGCTATTTCTATGTCCATTAGTTTAATGTGATTCCTTTTAGATGTTAGAAAAGTAGCGCGTTCTTTACATCTTCCTAATGCTCTTAGTTTTTATCCCTTCTGTAAAAGGTCTAAACTCGGTGTTATTGTAGATTGCGTAGGTGCCTTTATTTTCATTATATGCGAAATTAATATATATATTTATTTTGGGAAAAGGCTTTTGTATAAATAAAATACAGTAGTTTTATCCTGAAAATATGTATTAAACTTTTTGGCAATGGGTTGGAGAAAATAGAGCTAGAGTCGTGATGTTATTATGAAGTGACATCCTATTATGCTACATACTACTACAAATTCTGAGATAAGATGGTAATATAATACACTCACAAATTTTAATACTTCGTTTAATTTTAGTTTGAGACTAATAATATAAATATATAAAAAAAATTATAACATGTCAAAATAATAATAATAATATTAACTCAGTATGTGGACAATTCACACAGCGCCATATAGTCTTGTACCGTGCGAGAAATCGCACCCACGACCATCAGAAGTAAGGAGGTGTTTAATAAAGAAGTTCTTCTAATTAATTACCAATTAACAACATTTCTGATAATTTTCCTACAATGATCCGATGTAATCGTTTCCGGTCAATTAGAGCATTGGTACCTTTTTTATCTGATTATATCCATCACTATTGGATATATGTATGTACTTACTGAAAATTCTTAAGTAGACATAGAAAAGTCTCATATTCTTATCTTATCATAAGCTTATCAATTAACGTTATTACTTTCGTATGTTACTCAAAACAATTTTAAATTTAATCATTAGGCTAATACTAGTAATTTGCATGCTTACTAAGAAAAGACGTATTGAATCAATTGTTTATATATTTCTGTATACTGTAATGCAAATAAATTATTATATAGTACAGAAGCATTTAAATATTCAATGTGCTTTCATAGATAAAATATCTATACAGTTCTTTATTGTTTACAAAAATAAAATTTTATTAACAATTAGAATACTATGTGTGATAATCAACGTGGATACATGAATAAAATGGTCAGTATTTTAATGCTTTATTTAGCAAACCGTAACATTTTAAGTCCTAGTTGATGTAATTTTTTAGCACTTTATCGGTCATCCCTATGGTCTCGGGTTCGATTGGCATACAATACTAACGCATTGTATATACATATATAGGTACAAGTACAAACTAGTAGGTAAGTTTCTTTGTTAAATTCATTTAGATATTAAAGTATAAGGAGATTGTTAGTGTTAATCTCAGAACATTTCACACAGCGCCATCTAGACCCTAGTTAAGCTAACTAAAACTGTGTTATGGGTACTACATAACTGATACAAATACATAGATTTTTTTTCGTTAAAACATACATATTATACATAGAAAATACTTAGAGCGAAAAAAACAATCATACCCGCGACCATAGGAGGTAAGGCAGTGTGCTAACCCGCTAGACCACCGAGGCCGTTAAAATAGTAAGTAAAGTACGTTTATCTGTGGCCTACATAGCTTGCACTATCAAGCTTTGCTTAATTTGTGACTAAATGATTCTGCTTTAAGGGTTTAAGGTTATGTAGGTATCATAACTCCTTTATACCACATCCAATATTCACCTCTAACTAAAAATTACTCTTCATAAGCTTCAAAAATGTCCAATACCTTCATTCTTAATTACAGTGAGTCAGTACAATTTTACTTAATGTGTCATTAAATTTAACAACAATCGCCTTTTAGTGATGTGAAAGTGGACATCTTTATGTTTATATGTCATTAAGATTAAAGCTTTTCTACGTGTCTCCAACCTGAGTACCTACCAGTTGCAGGGTATCAGAAGGTGCATTACCATAACTCACATTGGTTTCATGCGCTATCGGTGCATTGGTGCGTTTGTCGCCTTACAACCCATCAGTCGTAAGGGCAGCCGAAGTATAAAACACGGGCGACACACAAATTTTTATGGGCCAATAAACCGAAAAATCAACGACATGAATGTTGTAAATCATTTCCCTAATAAAATATTATCCGTCCAAAAGCTATTTAGAACTCTAAAATGAATAACGTAAATATTTTCTCTACTAATCGTTACCCTCGACTTCGTCTGCTTTATTCTCGATAAACCTGTGTCAATCATCATGATGCATCTTCACGCTTAAAGTCATTAAGATCTTTTATTCTGTTCTGTTATCTTGTTAATCTGTTAATTATTTACTTTTTTGTAAAAAGTAACAAAAAGACTGAGAGACACACTTACGATTTCAAAATATTAGTAGGTATGGAGTTTTCATCTACCTATTAAGTAAAAATAAAATACAATCATCGAAGTCATTTCACGCACAAGGAATAAAATAACTAAAATAAAATATATACAGTCAAATTGAAAACTTCCTCCATATAGGATAAAATCTTCGAAATGAATTTAACTTGCAAATAGGTAGGTACAAAATATTATTCATAATGACGTAAGTCTGATAGGTACCAATGCACTTAGTTGTACGATACACTATAGTAAGTGAAAAATATTTCAAACATAATAGCAAAACTTTCAATTTTAATCCTTTCCAAATAGAAAAGTTTGCAAGTGTGCCACACATGCTTCTGGACAAGGATATAATCTGAATGCAAAATATTTATAATATTTTCGGATATCAATTTCGCTAACTATTTAGACTATCCAGGTGTGGTACTGTAAAACGTATTATTATTTTTGACACTAACCCAAATGCTAACAAAGACCACACAAAGCACATCGTGTACTATTGCTAAGAAACTCTCACTATTGTGATTGTCAAAACAAGATCGGTTACAATAAATCTTATTAAAAGTCCGCCACACACCGCCATTCATGTATTGTAGATACCTCTTTGCTAGAAACTTGGAAAAAAATGTTTACACTGCGTTGCGGAAAGCTTTTGTGGTGATGCATCTGCTATACCTGCATGATCGGTCATGTCCAAACATTAATTTATAAATATATACCAATATGTATTGGTTTTATAATTACCGAATTTAACATTAATTTCTCATCAACCTGTTTCAAAAAAGATATTCAGTTATTCTGTATTTTATTTCGCTATATTTTTCACTAATTTTTATTATTCTTTTCGTATGTATGAATACGTTTGTATGTTGATCTAATTTTCAAAGGACTAAAATAATATTAGAATATTTATGTTGTAAGAATAAAAAAAAATATGTTGTGTTCATTCAACAATCCAATGACCGTACCTATATTATTGTAACCTAACCAATTACTTCTTCTGCTAGTATATAGAAACAATAATTTAATAAAAGAAATAAATCTATAATGTACCTCCAACTATATTATTATTATTCATTTGTATAGATATATCTACCCATTATTTTCTATTATTAAATTGCAACGTCTTATCTTTCTCTGTCTGTCTATCTTATCTCTGTCTAGGGCGAGGATTAAATGGTGGAGAATGTCATGAATGTCATGGCATCAGGCATGTACACAAAATTGTATTGATACAATTAATTAGTATGAATACAATTTTTGTAATTTTGTGCACAAAGGAAAAATAAATAAATGAAATATTTTTATTAACCGATTTTAATATTCTAATTAATTGCTTAATTCAAATCCAGTCAAATTCTTTAAGATATAAATTCTTATTGTATTTTCTATTATGGCAACTTTATTTACGTACTGGCAAAATGTGCAAAAGGGACAAAATCCTTTATTGCTGGGTTTCATCAGAACCTATGATTACTTAATTTATGACTCTGAATACAAACTTTATTCGTTCGAAATAAAGTTGAAATGTTCCAATTACACAGTTCGTTAAATAATAAATTATATCTTTATGTACCACTTTCAGAAACAAAAACAATTGCTTTATGATCATTGTCCTCACTTCTTAAATCGCATAATAATAATATTTTTAAAACAATATGTTGCAACAAAAGCTTAACAAAAACATTACAATACTTCTAAAAAAAATGTATTGACGGCTTAATAATTTATTGGCTATAGTATTACTGTTAAAGCATTTACTTATTTCAATACTGATTTGCTTTTTTATTATTTTTAAAAATTTAGCCTGGCAACACTTACCACAGATTATTAATATATCTAGTTGAAGCTACACTTTACGCAGGTATATAAATATACAAATAGTCACAACACATGGAATAGTGTTTGCTTTGTCTTATTTAATTTGTATTTTAAAACATGAAATGAATGTGTCTTTTTATGGTGCTTACAGCATCTGTATTTAGTTTGTGATGGTTATGCTAATCATGTATGGTTAAAAGAGATAAATTTGTCTACGGAGGGGTAAGTTTTAAAAAAACTACGCACAAACATAAACGGTTAAATTTAGTAACAATTCTGAATCCATTTGTTATTGTAACTAAAACACATCTATTTGATTATGTGAAACAGTATCTTTATTTGGGTTTTGTTTATTCCATCAACCTTTTTAAAGTTTTTTTTTTATGATTTTCTGTTTGTAAGTTTATAATATCATATATAATTTGAATACAATAGTTCTAAACATTCTATAACAACCTATTATCAGTATTATAACCTTAATAATCATATTCCCACATATTATTTACTCTAATAGAAGTAACAAATACAGAATAACACTTGTAACATTCTATCTATTACAAAAATTATCTTGTTATTTGTTGTATTTTATTTAAGTCTATTGTTATGTCCCCTTGTTTTTATTAATATCTCTGCCACTTTAAGGATACCTTATAGTGATCACATTCAGCAATAATACCATCTCAGACCTATACATTTTTAGTGTGATTATAATTACGAGTCAAGTATAGTGCAAAGAAGTTATAGTCAATCTGTTTTCAATAGCTTTTTGTACAACAATGATGGCAAAAGAGTACAGCTCAACTGTTGGTAGTTGGTTACTGTTGCCTATCAGTCTATAAACATCTGAGGCATTAATGGTGTGTTGCCGACTCTAAAATCTATTATAACAAATCATTATCACCTAGTGTTTTAAAAATCTCTTTGTACTGTATAAATTTTAGCAAATTTAGTGTAATTAATGTAAGCAATTTCATTTGATATATATGGAGAATTAATGAATTTCTATACTTAAGTATCATAGATATACTTGTTACATTTCTTGGGACACTGTCTTTTTACAAAACAAATATATTACAGAAATTGTTTTTATAATTGATGTGCTTGGATGATATAAGTAAAACTCTGACTAATGTTACCATTTATTGCAGTTTGAACTTTTATACTTATATATATAAATATGAATTAATTATTGTAATATTTCATCTGTATATTATTTAATGATGATGGTTTGGTACAGCTAAAGCTTCTAAAACAAATTCCCTGACTCTTTGTAGTGATCTGTATATTTTTACAAATGTCATTCTGTAATATACTTAATTAATTGTCAATTATTAGAGTATAATAAATATATGGTTATTGTATCAAAATAGATTTTTTTACCTTTATTAAAATAAATACTAACTGCCTTTTTTATAAAGCAAATGACCTTTTTATAGTGTCATATATCATAAATAAAAAACCTATTAAAAATTATAAAACACCCATCACCAATATTTTTTCTTGATAGGTGAAAAGACGTTGCTTGTAGCTTAATACTGTAAAAAAATATTTGTAGGGAATAAATAATGAGTTTTTATGTTGTATAATACAACAACAGTAGTGGAAACATATGTACATAAATAGTACAAGTATATAAATTTTAAAAATCTGTTGTGATCACATCATTTATTTTTATTATTAGCTTTAAGTAATATGTTAAAATAAAAGCTTCTGCTTAAACAAATCGGTATTGTAGGTACGCTACTACCCCGCTATAGGTGGTAACATTATTTGAAAGTTTGATATTTATACCTGTCAATTTAGTCTTCGGGTTTAAAAAACAGGCTATAAATGCAAAATTAGTAACATATGATGCTGTAATTGCAATGACAATCAATTTTCTTATAAATACATTAATTCTAATTGTGGTAAACTTAAATACTGTTTATGAGAATATTATAAATGCCAAAAGTGAAAGTCTGTCTAAATGAAAGGTGACCTTAACATTGCCTCATTCAAAAACAGGAACTTTGTGTATTATCTCAATGGTTACAAAACAAAATATACAACAATATTTAAATATTGCATCATATAATATTACTATGTTTAGCTTGTATGCATATACAGTCCCGTTCTGACTGACTCCCTATGCATCCATGGGAATGAATAATCGAATTTTAATCTATCTCTCTGCTGTAATAATAGGTGTACCTATTTGTATGTATATACCTATTATTAATGAAAATTTTAAGACATGTAGAAAATCGGGTCCTGTAAAAATCCTGGATTCTAATCTCTATATTTAGCCTCTCATCTGGACCATTGTGCATATAGAGCTCAGGCTACTAAAGTGCCCAGCCAAGCATCTCAGAGAAGAGCAGAAGTTTCTAGCGTCTTCACATATTTCACAGAGCGATCTCAATAAAAAAGTCAGGCCATTCATTAATAATTTAAAAGCCACAATGTTATTGCTCTTGACGTAAGTGGCAAGAGCAATAACATTGTGGCTTTTAAATTATTAAGGGACAAGGGTTTTCCATAATTCTCTTTAAATTAAATATGACACAACTTAAAAAATTTAAATTAACTGCTTTGCATAAGTAAAATTGTCTTTTCATATTCAAACATGTCTTCAAAATCATGTATGGGAAAATTGATTTGTATTGGGAAGTAGTGGTTGCATACATTGTAAATGTACTTTACTACTTTGACCCTCATATTATTGTACTAGCAGAGGATTTCACTAATACAAAAGTGTGTGTGTGTGTACCAGCTATTTATGAAAAATTATAAATTTGATATCTACACATAGATATCAAATTTATAATTTTTCATTTATCATGTACAAATGTAGAATTATAAACTTCTATTACCCCTCACTATAGACTGTACATATTTTCTGTATACTTGTCAGTCATTCTCTGTCTTTACGTATATGACGCAGATATCTCCATGATCATGTTAGCCAGTGTTGGCCTTGATCATGATTGGGTCAACGACACAGTAGTACGTTTTAGACAATATGTTTACCCATATTATTATGTAGGTGGCACCATTTGACAAGGTCACATGTTATCTTCGATAATTTGTTTAGTTTGAATTTTAACTTTGAACACTGTATACCTCATTCCTGTTAGTGACCAAGTGCTTGTTGAAATATTTGTTTAGATCCAAACGTACAGTCATCACCTGACACTATTATAATTATATTATTATATATTTACCGACTATTGTATTACATTGTTATTGATAATTTAGTAGGCAATTGATTATTTATTTACATTGCTTTAAAACAAGGTAAGTTGGTTATACATCATGTCTTATATTTTTATATATTATACTATATTTTAGTCCTACAAAAATTGTATTTTTATTCTAATCATTCACCTATTTATCGATTTTACTAAAACTGGGATTTGCCAAAAACGGGATTTCCCAATTTGCAAATATTTTACGCGATGTCCTCGACAATAGTGTAGAACTAAACGTTGATTCATCAGATGATCGGTTTCAACTTAAATTGTTATCAACTGTGTTACATGATAAAGTAGCAGTTTTCTCCCGATCGATTTCCTTATAAAAACAACATTGAAGGTCCTCAGTTCCGTTTCACACAGTAAAACTGTCCCGATTTCTAACTGTAACCATAATTTTCTTGTTGCAGATGAACAAAAGACTGAAAAATGGATAATAGAAAACGAAGACTGCTGCAAATCCACAAGAAAGCCATAGTTGATGATTTAGATATCAATGACATCATAGATGAATTGTTTACTAAGAAAGTCATTTCAATAGATGAAATCGAACGTATCACAAACTATGTAAGTACATTTATACTACACTAGCTGCTCGCCCCGGCTTCGCTCTGGTGTGCATGTATTATGTACCTTGCCCTAGAATCACTCTATATATTAAAAAAAGCACTTCAAAATCTGTTGCGTAGTTTTTAACATTTAAGCATACTTAGGGACACAGCGACAGCGACTTTATTTTAATTATTATACTATGCAATGATTCAACAAATTTCCAATCGACTTCAAAAGGGGTTTTGAATTCCTTTGTATTCGCCGAGATAAATGATGTAAAGTCCTCTTTGTACCTCCGCCTACCACTTACCACTTACTAGCAGGTGGGCGATGGAACCGTGGAATAACCAACAAGCTATTAAAAAATTAACAAAATAGGTGCATTGGACTAATTAACTTAAAACTTTAAAGAATTATTCAACTTAACCAACATTAACCACCTTAATCTGGGGGAGAAGGGAATAGATAATAATTTGGACTATTGACCCCATTGTTAGCAATGTACCATGTCTGGTAGACCTTCGCACGGTTCGCGGTTCCCCCTGAAAACCATCGTGATAAATTCCTGGTGGATTTGTCATGATGGGCTAACTGACCTGACCTCATCTCATGGTCATGTTATCATCCTCCACTTGTGTACCGCCAGCGTTAACCGTTAGCGCAGGCGGGTGCACCTACATCTATATGTATGACCGTTTCTTACTACATACTTATTAATATAAATACGGTACATACACCAAAATAAAATTTTTTACAATTTTTTCTATCTATCTGTCTGTTTGTTCCGGCTAATCTCTGAAAGAACTAGACAGATTTTGACGGGGCTTTTATTGGCAGATATCTGATGTAATAAGGAGTAACTTAGGCTACTTTTATTTTAGAAAAATAAAGTTAAATTCCACGCGGACGAAATCGCGGGTACAACTCAATCATAGAGTACTCATCAATAAAATAACACCTTAATCGGGGAACTTTGTTTTCTAATATGTATCTTTAGGTATGCTGTATTAAATTATAAACTGGATATTAGTAGGTATATAGACGATATTAGTATGCATTCTGTGATTTTTGTGGTACACTGGTGTAGGTCTGCTATAGTCGCTACGATTAATTTTATGTGTTATTCAGTTCTGTCTATTAACTTGTTTTATTTTTATGATTTTGTTGTTTGGTAAATTGCGTTTACAAAACATACTATAATCTTTGGAACAAATGTTGAAAAACTTTATAACATTTGTTCTATAGATAAAAGTTTGTGTCCAGTCTTGTCGACGGAATTTGCATTGATAATATGGTTGTAGAGTACAAAACACAACAATTCGAAATTGCTTTAAATTATTTTAATAAAATATTTATATTATTAGTCTAGTACTCGCCCCAGCTTCGCACGAGTGTACGTGTATTATAATATAAACCCTCCTCTTGACCCACTCTATCAATTAAAAAAACCGCTTCAAAATCCGTTGCATAGTTTTAAAGATTTAAGCATACATAGGGACAGATAGCGACAGCGACTTTGTTTTATACTATGTAATGTTATAATAATAATGAAGTATAATTCTAAATTTAGTTTCAACAACATATGCTAAATTAAATATCGTTCCTATTTAAAGAATGTTATTAATATATTCACAGCATTTTCAATTTCCTAACCATAATTCACCAAATAATAGTAGTAACAAAATCAATTCTAAATACAAATTATATCAAGTCACACTTAAAGCTAAAATTATCTACATACAATAATGTACTAAATAATGTCACATAGGTCGGGTCGAATTTTCGTATCCTGGCATATTTGAATCGGTGGTTGTGATAAGCGTAATGTACTTGTGACTTCACAATTGCGTAACCTTGATAACGTCAAGTGTGCCTATAATATTCAAACCAAGCTGAACAGGGCACTCGATTGCTGCAATTTGTCAATTTGCATTCCTCGTGTAGTATCCCACCCAACCTAGTAACTACACTTATATTATCCATCATAATAAAACTGTCTTTGTGTGTACAGTATTCATAATTCTTATTTATTATGTACTAACTATGCCTGCGGTTTACCCCGCATTAATTTTCAATATAAAATATAGGCTATGTGTTATTCTGATGCATAAGCTGTAAAGTTTCATCAAATTCCGCTCAGTAGTTTTTGCGTGAAAGAGTAACAAACATCCATACTCACAAACTTTTGCGGTAATAATATTATTAAGAAAAATATATTTTTGGTACATTCGAAACATTTATATATTTAAGATACTTTCATATTAATTACATCATCTTCAAACATTAGTAATCTTAAAACATCTTTATCATATATAATCTTTACATAGTATAAAACAAAGGCGCTCCTGCTGTCTGTACTCATAAGTCTAATTATACAAAGGATTATAATGCAGTTTTTAGCAATCGATAGAGTAATTCAAGAGGAAGGTTTATATGTATGATACATACTGTACACCCATGCGAAGCCGGGCGGGCTGCTAGTTAACTTATATAACTTTCTAGCTAGAACTAGCGTACGGTAGCAAAATAAACAACTGTTATTATATACAAAATTGATTATTTTATATCTACGTTAATGCTTTACTTATTAATTGCCGAACTGATTCTATGAAAACCCAGTTCGTTCTATATTTGTCGTACCTATGTATAATCAGGTATGTGGACAAGTTTCACGTTATTCGAATATAATATGAACTTACTTAGACTTTCTACCTATTGTACATAGCAAGTACGTATCTATTACGTACTTGCTATGTACAATAGGTAGAACACATTCAACATATCTATCGATAATGTACGCATTATTTACACAGTCAAGGACATATCCATTTACTGACAATACGCTTTTTGTTCCTTGTCTAAGATCTAAATGGCTAAGAATATAACTACAGCATTTTGTAAAATCAGGCATAGACTCATTAGTTACGAGGCCTCCTTATTAGTCATCGACTCTACATTGTTTGCGCAACTACACCATGCAAGTCAGGGAGTTATGTATCAAGTTACTTCTACTCTACTTAATATATGTGGTATTATTGCTGTATTAATGCACATCATCATAGCAGTTCATATATAATGATCAATTTTAACACAGCGTTATGTAGTCCGAAACTAAGCAGAGATCTTAAATGACTGGCAGAAATTAGACTTCTTTTGTAAATACATAATATACTTAGATAACACCAAGACAAGCAATCGTACCTATTCACATATAATCATATGAATACAAATGTTAATATCGTACGAGGAATCGAACCCGTGACCATCGAATTTAAAATGGTGTGCAAAACTACTAAACCATCGAGCCCTCAAATTATTGGTTAATGCAGCATGCATAACTTGGCTGCATGCATAACATCTTCAAACAGAAAATCATACAGTATAACTGTATGATTTTCTGTCTGAAGATGTTTATACATGTAAAAGTACCTATTACTCTATATATATATATCGTTACAAAGCTGACCACCTGATGGCAATAGTAACCGTGACCTATATACATGCATACTCTAATAGAACCACAAACGTCACAAAGTCGGTGGCGTGCGGTTGCATGAATAACTATTATGAATGTATTATACCATAGAAACGGTATTCAGCACGAACCACAGTAAGCCTTTCATACCTGATAAGTTTAAATAGTCCTCAAGTCTGTATAATATTACCGAATATGCAGCTAACCGTTTTTTACCAGATTCCGGTATCTTATATTATTCCGATTGAAAAGAGCAATATCTTGGTAATTAAATGAGTGAAGATATACATACAGGCTACAAACACTTTATTCCACAGACAGACAGCATTAGAATTAGTACATTGGATGTTGGATGTATCTATATGTTACTATGAATGTTGACTTACTTTGATGGAAATGTTTATATTTCAGGCAGACCGTGCTGAAAGAACTAGAGGCCTTTTAGAATACATAGAGAATAGCAACGACAGTACATACCAGGCATTCGTAGATAGCCTGGAAAAAGATCACAACTGGTTATGGCAGAAAGTGACCTTAGAAGACAAAGAAGACATATCTACCGATAGTTTCGAAGACAGCCTGAGTAGGGGAGATGTGCCCAGGTTACCAAAGAATTATGTTAGGAGATTACCAGTGGTGAGAACACACAAATTATTTCCATTGTAATAATTGTCACGTCTTACAAATATTTTTTATTAAAATAACAAAACGATGATGACTACGAATTTTCTTTTTGATTTGCCTGTTATAAATTTGTTTTAATAGTCAAATAAATAGTTAAATAGTTACCGCAACTGTATACTACTATTATTGTATCAAACAAAGTAAATAAACGTAACTTCGAAGTTCCTGCTAAAGTGAAGAGATGCGTGCCATGATTTGATAAACTTTATTAATTTTAATTTTTTTTTTTTTACCTTTTAATGTAGTGTTTTATATCTGACACGATTATTTAGTTAATCAAGTAAAAATATTAAATTATTTTTATATTCGAAAGTCAAGAGAATATTACAAGCAAGCAGCACTAATTTGAAGTGTCAACCAAATAGATCTTCGCACAATTTAAGCCATGATGCTGATATTCTGCGGAAACCGTTGTATATCTCCATATACAGACAAATTGACATAGACATGCGTCAATATATAAACATACAATAGTTCTCCAACTTACGTACTTCGCATTTATATTATTTCAGGAAAGAGAGGTGGAAATAAAACTAAGTAACCTTACAAGACACAAGGTTTTGGTGCTGGTAGGAATGTTGGGCTCTGGGAAGACTTCCATAGTCCTTAGTGTGCTCCGCAACAACCCTCATCTTATTACGGACAGCTTGAACGGTTATGTATTCTGGATCAATCTCAGTGACTGCAAAAATGACTATGACATAATCACACAACAAAAAAAGTAAGTAGAAATGTGTTAAATATTTCTTTAGAAAGTTCATAAATCATAATATACCTTAATTCATAATATATTTCATTTGAAGACTATTCAAACCAGATAACGAAAACTGTAATTGTAAACACAAACAGAATAATTTTAATGAATCAAGAACCTTTTGTTTATGGTTATAAATAAAAAAAAAACAGGTTCATAGGTATTTAATAGTAGTCATACATACTAGTTTCACAAGCGACTTTTTACATGTGGGATCCATACCTAATAACTATGTATAAACTTGTATGTTTATGGACTGATTAGTAGGTAACAAATACTGAATGTTGCACAATCAGTGGAACCTCATTGAAATTTGATAAGCCGTTCCTGAGATCAACTGGCTTTATCCCATTACTTGTCTTACTATGACAACACAGATAATAATTATGAAAACAGAATTTTTAACGTTTGTAGCATAAGTACACACGTTTTTGGCAAAAATATCTCATGATAAGATATAAAAGAAAATTAAACTTTCAGATTATACCGAAAGAGTTCATTGTGGGCATCCAATTCATACATGAACTCATCAATGTCCATGTCGAGTATATGTTCCAACGGCGACATCACAATATCAACAGGTTACGAAAACACCTGGGAGGAAATGAGAGACAAACTGAAACACCAATTTTCCAGTGAATCATTGAAGTCATCTTTGTTAGTACTAGATGAAGTACATGATAAGCTATCGGTTGAAGCATTTGATATTGGATGTAAAATACTAATCACTACCAGGAACAATGACATTGCTAATACATTTGCCTCACAAATCATAAAGGTAACTAATCACCTGTAATTATCGTTTATACAGTATAACATAGATTCCACCAAAGTACATCATATATGTTCAAAATATTTAAAGTTTCATACCCAGTTTTATATATATTGTAAAATATGTATATGAACATTACAGCTATATATATTTTAAAAATTAAGTGCTTAACACATATTGCAAATGTGTTTTGGTGGAAACACAGAATAACAAACCAATGTCCACCTAAAATTATATTTACGCTTCAACTGTTTAAAATATATATAAATTTACGTTATATATATCTATGGAACCAGATACTTATAAATAGATTCATATTTTAAAACATTTGGATTTGGAATGTTTTACACTTACAACAAAAAATAAATTTTCCTGAACTAACGTTACCATTTCATCCACTATAATGCTAAATGCTTTTTAAGTATGAATATGTCTATGTGTATCAAATATTTTGTCTTTGATACAGTATTATGTAGGTTGTGCATAAATATTTTTCAGATCAAAGACAGTTTAACAGAAAATGAGATTTTGGAATTCTTTGCTAATTGCCTAGACGTAACAGTCTCTTCCTTGCCGAGGCAGGCAAGAAAGTTGCAAGAAACATTTAAAGAAAAGACACCTTTCCATATTGGCTTGATTGGAGCTCAGATGGCTGTTAATAGAGAGAGCTTAGTAGATAATGGATCTCCTTTGTGGAAAGAATATCTGAAAAATTGGGGTAAAAAGGGTTTTTTTTCGTAAGTATCAATTTCTAATTTTATTATTATTAAAAAGCATACTAAAGCAATATCCACAGAAATAAATTAATAACTAACTTTAAAAAAAATAATCTGCATATTATGCAATTTTTTCTGTATATATTAGTAAATAACTTCATTAATTCTAAACCCAATTGGGGCTGCACCTTAACTACTACCAAATTTTTCAGTAGGTATTTATGGTACATAAAAATTATTGATATGAGAAAACCACAAATCAATAAAATTATGGTGATTATTTTTAATGATATTGTTATATTATTATACATACTTTACTATCATTCTGTACGTATAAATTAAAAATTATATTTTCTATAATTTTAAATAATAAACTGCTTCAACATTACCTATTACAGATTTCCCAGTACTAACAACAAACCTGCAGAAATGGTGAGATTTTGTGTGAACTCCTTAGAACCCGAAATCGTATCACTTTTCAAAATGCTGGCCATATTACCAGAAAATGTCAAAGTATCAGCTAAAGTGCTAAGCAAACTATGGCACAAAACTATCACGGAAACAGACTTGATCTTAACCCAGCTTTACAACAAATCCTTGATAAACAGATCTTATAACACATACCAAAAGGACTATGTTTATGAAACACACGAACTGATTTTGAATTTTCTTAAAACATGTCTCACTAAAGAGGAAAGTGGAAAGTTACATTGTGATTTTCTTAATAGTTACAATTACATTAAACCAAGTAATACAACAGTGCAGATAACTGACGATGGCTATATAGCCATGTTTATTGGATACCACCTAGCGAATACTAACAATTTAAACCATAAATGGGAACTTTTCAATAGACTGTATCTGGATTTGAAATTCCTGGGCAATAAAGTGAGGCTCACTGGGGAAGCAGATGTTATGTTCGATCTTCAGAAGTATGAAGAGTATATCGCCAAAGACGTAAGTAATTTAGTTACCATAAAGTTAAAAAAATATATTAAATCGTGCATAGGTGGATAAAGTATCCTATGTATAACTCAAATTCCGAATCATATACTGATATGATTCGGAATTTGAGTTTTACATACAAGGATTTCCACTTATTGTATTATTAACATAAAAAAACTGTACCAACATAATTTCTTGCCATTTCTTCTCAACCTAAATAGATATATGATATGGACGGTAGGGATAGTGATCATTAATTTTCCTGTATCATTAAATAACTTGGAATAATATTTATTTAATACTAGCTACTCGCCCCGACTTCGTCCGGGTGTACATGTATCATATACATAGACTTTCCTCTAGAATCACTCTATCTATTTAAAAAAACCGCTTCAAAATCCGTTGCGTAGTTTTAAAGATATAAGCATACATAGGGACAATAACAATGATGATATAAATTATATTTTTTTTAGCAATTGGACAAAGATTTCCTCATTGGAATTGTGGCGTTTCTGAAAACATATGGCACAGACTTATATCGTTATCCATGTACAGACATTGTACAAAATATCTTGCAGCATGAATCCAAGGGAATACTTTTTACAAAGGCATATGATATCGCTCAAACCAATTGCTCCAAGAACGAGCTTTACTTCGAGTTTTCGTAAGTTAACAAATTATTATTTACAATGTTGTCTAATGATAACTAATGCTTATTTTTGTGGACATAACCTAGTTGCGAATATAGTCATCACACTTGTGCTAAATGTATGAATATTTTGCAAAAAAACGTGCATAATAAATTATGTGTCTATGTTTAGAGAAATTGATTAATTGTTTTATATTATCGTGTCGCTGGATTTATATCTTAACAAAAATAATAGCAGACATGTATTAGTAGTGGGCTCACTTTACAGTGATGTTTTACAACAATTGTACAGAAAATTGTGGTACAGATTGTAGTAGCACTGGTGATGTGCTTGAGAATCTATAATTTAAATCTTTAAAGAATCTTTAAACCAAGAATAACAGCTTACATTAGTTTCACATTTTTTGAGACAAATCTATTACACGAATTTAGAAAGATTCGAATTTACGCTAAATTGCAAATGTATAAATCCAGCTCAGAATACAATGTGCCTTCACTGACAAAATTTTAAATTTTTAGATATCCAGTTCTGTGTATTTAATGCGTAGGGACAGTTTTATTAATATAATATCTCTATATAGGGACCACATTGTGTATATCTACAAGTGTGGCGGGCGTATCCAATATTTTCTGAAGAAGTGGTCAGTATATTTTGTGGAAAAAAAATCAATGGTGAAGGTTGCAATCATTGAGTACGAACCATGACTGTCAGGTGTGAGGAAACATTACACAACTCATTGTCTTAATCGGTCTTCGTCATTTTCATTGTTGTAGTCTATTGTGTTGTTATAGATATTTGTGTAGAAATATTTTAAATGTAACAGAATCCAAATGCTTTACTACTAAACACATATATATACCTTTTTGTTATATTTATCTATGCAAATGATATTTTATTCCATTCTATCATCCAATTTGTAATATAGAGTAATGCAAACTGTTTTTATAACAACTGTATTGGATGACGCTGCACTTGGTGCGGAAATACTTCTACACTTTATTTTCACATTAGATAAGTGTCAACAAGTTCACCTTTCAATACTCTGTAATAGGAGAGTTTGCTCTCCACCAAAAGATACAAATATGTTGTACTCTCAAATGCAAGCACTGCAATCTTGTAATATAAAATGATCATGCAACTAGAAAATGGGTGGTTTATTTGTTTGCATGAGTTAGCACTATTATTTATCAATCCCAACATTATATAATTTTATTTTCTATCTATGTATTATCGTGTTTATGTTGTTTTATTGTATTAATTTCTTTATTTATAATTTGTTTAATAATATCTAAATTGTTGCCAATTTGTATTATTTGGAATAAAACCCACAAAATTGCTTCTAAAATTTATAATGACTATTATCATGTATATCATTCATTCAGAATCAGCTTTACGTTTTAAATAATTATTTTCAATCATATTCACACAAATTTTTCTACAGTTTATTTTTATACATATTAATTTTGTTCCTTTTAGTCATGAACAAAATGTGGAAGAAATTATGCACTCTACAATTGATGTTAAAGATCATATTACATCTGGTTGTTTTCTAGGAGATTTTGTACTTATTGGAACAAAATCGGGAATTATTAAGGTAAATAAAGACATCTGCAATAATACATACTTTAGCCTACACAGGCGGCTGATGAGATTTCGATAGAAAATCGATGACTGCTGCACACATTATATCTTTGTCTTGATTTTTTTATGCAACAAAGAGATCGCTACTGAATAGTAGCGATCTCTTTGTTGCAAATACATTCATTTATCCTCCTTATACGGCCTTACAAGATGGCGTAATAAAAACGACAATTACAAAAATACCTTGCATATTTAATCAACAGCTGTCGCATTTATCTTATATTTTTTTTGCAACAAGATTAAAGTTGTTGATAATTCAGAAGCTAATTTATTATGACGTTCATTTCATGTGTTTCTATTTCCATGTTCTGCATATCAGTTTACAAATTAAAACATTTTTTTAGATGTTTCACTGTGAAACCAGTAAGTTAAAGACAGAAATAATAAATGGTACATCTGCTATAAAGTGGGTTGGTGCATGTCCTATAAGTCCTACGAAGGTTGCTACTTTGTCCGCGGACGGCGCAATAACACTGTACAACAATCTATATACAGATCATGTGGAACAAGAAGACACCGATACTGTAATAGAAGAAGGTATTATTTATATATATTTGTGAATTATTCCATAATTAGAGTACATTGGTCCGGCACGGGTGACAGGTATAAAGTTACTACCTTTATCCCTTAGTTACCTACAAATACAAAACTGTGATCATCATCATCATATCCGCAAATTGATCATAAGTAATGTCTGTACACATAAATTGATTTCAAATGTTTTGAAACGCCTTGTACTTGTTAATATGTAATTTTCTCATTCATATTTTATTAAAACCTAATGTATTTTGTATTTGTATATTAACAAATATATTTTGTTAGCAGAATTTGAAGAGCAACCATCATCAAACTGTACCAATAGTAAAACAACAGACCATAGAATGAGACCATATCTAAATTGTAGATGGGCCAATAACGAGAAAACATTGATCGCACATACGTCAAAGACAATCGTTCTATACCACATTAAAGACGAAGTGTTGAAACCCATAGACAAATTGGACAGAAACAATGAAATATCATGTTGCACATTATGCAATGACGATAGACTTATCATAGCTGCTGAATGCAACAACGACAAACATAGTGTTGTGGTCATAGACAGGAGAAATCAAGAGATGCTTATGTCTTTCGGGGAAACTGACTCCATTATAGATATATTGGTTGTTCCTGGTAAGCAAATTGAGGTTTTTATTTAAATATTTTTATACACAAGTTTTTGAATTATAAACAAAAAAAAATAACATATGACACAATCTATACTAATTAGTAATTTAAAAATAATATATAAATTATATATAGTAGTTTCAGACCTGAATATTACGTGCGTGGGTAGCAGCTTAATAATATTTGAAAACATAACTAATAAAATAGCGTAGGACCGTGGTACACAATTCAGTTATGAAAGATCGCTTCAACGTATATAAAAATTAATCTAAAGGAAAATTTAATCTCAGATCTAAAAGTGCTAATAATACAATTACGATAACATGTCTCAGAGTTACTTCGTTATAAACATTGTTTGGTTATGGCATGTAGAATGTCAAAATGTTATAATATATGGTTTAAAAACATTGTAATTTTGCAGGAATAGGAAGCAACAAGATTATCACTCTCAAAGAAAAAGAGCTGATCCAACACACATTCAAAATAAACCAGACTTCCTACCTAAACAAGTCGATTTGCAGCAGCGAAAAAATTTTAAGTTGCGACGATGTCAAAGAGAATCTGAAGTTTTTGTCGATGGCTGTGAATAAGACTGGCACATTATTATTTGTGTCTACTACTGATCGTAGAGTTATCTGTATTGATTTAAAAACAAACTCTCATACATTTGACATTGAAAATAGGCGCGGGTGAGTTCTATATATTTCATACTTTTATTGTCTAAATATTCTGTTAACTAAATCTGCCTATAACGATGTTTTGTCGTCATATGTAATATACTATATACTACAGTTATATAGTACAGGTAGTATATAATACAGTTAATTACGTTTTAATATGGTTACTCTTGATGGCCAATTGTTATTTTGCATTTTATTCAAAGCAATTTAATCTTGCTTCTATATAATCATTATTCTATATCAATAATTTATACATACATATAATTTAATAAAAAAATATATACGATGTTTCATGTCATTGTTATTGTCCTATCTATTACATTTAACAAAACTTCATCGTGTTACATATTTCCAGCAATATCATATTTATGGCAGTTAGTGAGATACCAGGCGGCGACGATTATGTGCCAGGCCTGGATGTCTTACTAACCGGCACGGGTACTGAAGAAAATTCAGCCAAAATATGGTTCTTGGATGCTGGTTACGTATCGCAGAAGAGACAGCAAGTTTGGTAAGTTATTTAAAACGTGTTTATTTTTAAGTAATAGAATACATGGGAGCGTAGTGGTTATTATTTGCTGTACTCATAGAGGCCAAAGTTTTTGATTTCAAATTTGACCAAACTCACACCAAAACTTTTAATTTTAATATCTGATTAATCCGCTGCTTGTTGCCTTTCACTTTGAATTAAAATAATCTTGTTCAGCCATGAGCAATGTAGATATCTCATGTAATGTACTATTTATTAATGCCTCTAATTACGCCATTTGAAAATAATTTTTATATTATAAATCTAATATACATATATAGTATTTAGTCATAAATGTTTGTAAACGAGAAGTCTATATTTAATCATAATCTGTCTTCCAGTAAAGTCCGGCTTACAAAGAAGTTCGCAGTAAGCTTCGTCAATACATTGTCACCGCAAACTCCTAATCAGGATATATTAGTGAATGTCCCAAGTTCCCAAAGCCTATCAACGACACCCAAACGTCACCAATCATTCGCTGATCGTATGGAACCCACCCGAAAACCAGCTCATAAGACCCTGAGTTTAGATAGATATTCTCTAAAGCCGCTCAACTTGAAGGGCCTGTGTAATAATAATGAAAATTTTATCCAGCCTTTATTAGCAGTGGTCGACGACAAAAATAATATACAGGTATATCTATTAAGTTTCAATTATTTCTATATGAACATTAATATCAATGGTGTAAGGTTTCCTGAGAAATAACACAATTCAACAAATCAATTATGTAAGTGATTAGTGTTCAATATACTAGAAAATGACCATAAGCACTGCCCGCGAAATGATAGCACTACGAAAATATATTATAAAGATAATTAGAATAGAAATCATTTATTTAAATAAACTTAACTTAAGCATTAAAATATCATAGTCAATATAGATACTGTTGAGGTGTCAAGAAGTAACTAAGAACTTCTGCCTACATGAGGCTGCCAATTCAGGTCCCTGGTGGTAGTTGCCCACGGAATCAAACTGGGTTCAAAGGGGCTCACCCCAAGGCCCCAACCTGCACCTTCCTAGCAAACTCCAGATGACTCGGTTTATTCATTCACTCATACCATTCTGTCAATCAAGTCATTTGGAAGTTTATTTTTTACATGTCAAGATGATTTTTATTGATTGATCTTAAACGTAAGAAAATCCACTGTACTATATGCTTTTTTCGAAATTCTTTGTCATATAGGAGTACAAAATCTTTCTTACTTCGACTGCAGTTGCCAAAAAAATTATGTTTAAGTTTTCTGAGATTCAGTTAGTCTATATTTATAATTGTTATGTACATCACAGGTTATGCGTGGTAAAAAGGTCCTCACAGAAATCGTAACTAATGCAGAGGATAGAATCAGCGTCGTCCGTATATCACCCTGCAATCAATACATCATTTACGGCCTTTTATCGGGCACCGTCAACAAATATGCACTCCGTAGTAAAGAAACTGAGGTGATCATGAACTTAACGGGATCCATACAGTACCTGAACTTCGTGAATTCGTTCCTACTTGTTGTGTCAGATGAAAAACGTTGTTTGATGGCATACCATTCTTATAACGGCAAATGGAAATCAGAGATGTTGCAGCGCGGAAAGTGTCATCTTGGGTCGCAGGAAATGTTGAATGACATACAAGGTATAAACTTGAAAATATGTATATATATTTTTAATAACGTTTATAGTATAATAAATAACATAACTATGATATTTTTTATGTACAAAAAAATATATTACAATTAAAAAAGAGTTATATAAATGAACTAAATAAAAGGCGGATTTTTGCTTAAAGTAATCTCTTTCAGACTAACTACCTACTAATATTTTATTGCGATATAATTATTTTATTACTATATAAATATTTTACTGTTTTCAAACTGATAATGTTTACTGCTACTCTAAAAATACTGACGTTACTGTTTAATATTTTTTAGGAATAAAAAAGAAAAATGGGCATACAGACAGTTTATCAGACACTGGCAGTACTTCAGGTGAAAATGGCCTGCTGCCAGACCTTAGTGCACTCGTCGACTGCTTCTGGGTCGCTGACGGGCTTATTACCATAGAATGCAACGCTGTCATTAAGTTATGGAGCCCAGATTTTAAGCTGGATAGCGTGTTAAATGGACGCAATGTCGACGCACGAGCTAACTGCGCCGCATGCCAAAAGAATATACTTGTGATTTGTGATGGTCACAATATGACTTTTTATGTAAATATAATTGTTTATGTTACTTTACTAATATATAAACGCGGAAGTTTTTGAGTGTGGATGGATGGATGTTTGTTACTTTTTCACAGAAAAACTACTGAATGGATTTTAATGAATAATACATAATGAAAAAAACTGCGTCAAACCGGGGGCACAGCTAGTTTTTTTATAAAAAGATAGTGAATAAAATAATAGCTATATTTAAGGATATTCCTTTGATATTCTACCTATATGAAATCTATACTTAGCATTCTGTAACATAGTGTGATGATAGCTGACATTTCGCCCCTTTTGCCACTGCATTGAATAAATTTTAAATAAATTGTTATAATAATTAATACTATATAATTGTTATTCTTACAGATATTCCAACTAAGGAAAGATGAAAATAACAAATTAAGACTGAATCTAAAACAACGATATAATTTAGGAAGCCAGATTGTCTCGTGCGATCTAACTACGGATGGTACCAAATTAGCGTTAGGACTAGACGGTGGTGATGTTGTCGTAAGTTACCTATACACATTTTTGCTTAAAAATCTTTTTTTTATTGATATATTGTATATTTTCAATAAGCTGCTTTACCTAAAAAATATTATGAAATCGGCTTTTTTTAAATTTATGTCCCAAGAAGTTTTTTTTAGTTATGTCAGTATGTACTGTGCCAGATTTAAATTGCAATAGCGTAAATAAATACTTTTAACATATATTATAATCATAATTTTGTATCGAGAGCAATCTTTTTATATAATTCAGATGTATCTCTATCCGGCATCAGCCTGGCGTCAGAATACAACACTAAAGGGTGGTTGAAAATTGTATGTAATCACAAAAATAAGTACCAATTCGTCTTAATCCATACATCCACTGTTGTCTTAATTATCATATAATATAATCACTATTAAAAAAATTGTCCTTGTGCATACTATGTGTTTAAATAAATGTTAATGTTTCGTATAATTATTGTTATCAGGTTATGTGTATAACAACAGTAATCCTTAACATTTTATTAGTATTGTGTTTGTAGATTAATACACATGTAACTCAATCCTTAATAAAATTCTTTATAAAATAAAGCACACCGCCTAACTTCTGATGATACCGGGTTCGGATCCTCACACGGCACAAACATTAGTATTCATGAGTATGATTGTTTGTATCGGTCTGGGTGTTTTCTATGTATAATATTATTTACGAAAATAATGTATGTATTTGTATTAGTTATCTAGTATCCATAAGACAAGCTTTAGCTAGCTTAGCTTGGGTCTAGATGGCGCTGTGTGAATTATCCTGAGATTATTGCTATTATAATTGTACGTTAAAATGCTTTTCAGATTTGGAATGTAACCCAAAAACGCCAAATAACAATACTGAGGCATCATAAAAGTAAAGTGCAATGGTGTTCATTTTCACCTACACCTGATAATTTTTGCCGAACCCCAGCACAATCGCCTTCGTTATATCCCCATCCACCATCATTCAATCCACACACAGATGACAATGAACCACCTTTGGTGTTGGCAACCATGGCCACTGAGATTGTATGGTGGAATATTTCCTTTGTATTGAAGAATCCTAAAAAGACATTTATCAGGTAGGTGAACAATTATAGTGATTCTTATTTATTTATATTGATATGTTAATTTATATAAAATAATAAAAATATCGCTCGTTTGTATTTTCTACTAAATTAATAACATATTTGAGTGATGTTGCCCAAACATTTAAATATACTTGTAATTTATAATTTTTTTATCTATCCTATATTAATGTAAAGAGAAATAAAATAAATTTTGTTAGAGAAAAGTAAACACTAGAACTACTGTATTGATTTGAAAAAGTCGTTCACTGTATGAAAGATACATTATTGTACAGTGGTCTTATTTTACGTTTATAAATACAAAACACCTATTTTTGAGCACCAGATTGATGTGATTTGTTCTATAATTACTTTAAAAGTGTTGTATATTTGCTAATATACAACCATCCTGAAATAGCTATTTAACCATTAGTATGTGTTAAATTTCAAAACTAAATCCTGTTAAACAAGTGTGTAAAGCTATTTATAATTATGTTACTCAATTAAACTGAAACTCGTTTAATTGTCTTTGTAGGTTATTGTAACGTATACATGTAATTGTAACATTCCTATCACAATTTAATTAAATTATCTTATGTAATTAATTGCGACAATTCCTAATTTATTCAGTTCTGCAGCTGTGACCACTGCAAACTGCGAACACTGTAACTGGCTAATCCGCGTAACTACGATTGCTAGAGATTTTCTTCATTTTGTAATTATAATAATAAACTTTATTTAAATCAAGGAATCTCACAAACTCAAACTTTGCCTGTTTATAATATTAGTGTAAGTTATATTAAATTATTAAATAACAATAAATTATTGTTGTTACAGTAACACAAATATTATGTCGCCTCTTGTCAGCCCAATAGACAACAGAATTCAATCACCGGTCAATAACGACTCGAGTAGTCCAAAAAACATATTTTTTGGAAATGGATCAATCGGAAGTCACGATTGCTGGAAATCTATATGGAAAAATAAAACGTAAGTCTATAATAATAATAATCACAGGACAATTTACATAGCGCCATCTAGACCCAGATTAAACCACCTAAGATTGAGCTATGGGTAGTAGATAACTGATACAAATACATAGATTTTTTGTAAATACCTACCTATATACTACGTAGAAAACACCCAGATCGATACAAACAATGAAACTCATGAATATAAATGTTTGTGCCGTGCCAGGAATCGAACCCGCGACCTCGGAAGTACGGCGGTGGCTAGTAGAGCACCGAGGCCGTCAAAATATATAATCTACATTTATTTCAATTTCATTTTATTCTAATGTCTTGTCGGTGAAAGTATAATTATATATATTTTATTCATAGGTGCAAGGAAGGATCCAAACGGGAAGAAATACTTGCATGCGTCAAGCTGACGGGTATGAACGCTGAACAATTATGTCACAACGAACAATATTCCTGCTTCGTAACTGTCGATAACTCTGGTCACGTTCACATTATGAATGTGATGAGGCCAAACACATAGCACACTGCCATATGCATTTATGTACGCGTATCAATATCCCTTCTATACATCCTATGTGCATAGTGTCTAGTTCATACACTTGTCATATATTATAAAATACACGCAACAGATAATACTCATTTGATACCTGTTAAATTCTTTATGTTTTTTAAGAGTATAATTACGCATGTACAATAAGTAATTTATATGCATAGATATAAAATAGTGGCAGATGTCTCAAACAGAACTAGCTTATAGGTTTTTCAAAACAGGTTGTCGTATTCTTGTGTTTTATACATACATACACAGCGCTATATCACCCTCTGTATGGAATTGTGTTTGTGAATTTGTATGAACATCAAAAACTGGCGCTAAAGGTCTGTAGAAATAGCTTATATATATATATATTATTATTATTATAATTCAGCATGGATATTGAATCGCGTACAGTTACTATTACATAGTAAAACTGTTGTAATCTTAATTTACGTAAATTGTAAATAATTATTCAAAATATTCAACCAGTCAATTTTCGACTACGTAACTGTATATTAAAATTTTACAATATTACGAATGTCTGATATAGGTTAAATACAATGTGTTCTACTGTAAGTATTAATTATCAAACTAGGATTCTATTAAAAATGAAAAAAAAATCATTTGTTAGTAGATATATAGTATATTATGTGACATTACAAATGAACAAATGAAGGATCAATAAGTATTGTTTTATAATTGTATTTATAAATGAATATTACAGTGAGAAAACCTACTTGCCCTTTAATCGTAATTATATTCATGAAGACAAAATTTCTAGGGAGTATAGATCGAAATTTAGAAAAATTTGAACATTAATTGCAGAATAGGAGATTAAATACTGCATGGTCCAAGTGGATATGGATTCTTTAAGGAGAGTTATTCAGTACCAGCTGGGTTGTAGTTCGTTTATACCCTTCCTGTGAATATAAATTATAAAGATACCATCTAGTACTATGCAGTAGGTTACCATTTTTTATATCATAACAATTGTACTCATCTGTTGGGTACACATATTTGATATAAAACTGAGATTATAGATTTACTTTCATTATAAAACAACGTATTCAGAATTTCTGTCCAAGTTTGTGCTTTTGACGGCAATTTAAATGAAATTTTAAAAATTTTGTGACAGAATACTTAAACGCTTTAATATAGTTGCCATAAATTTTGGAATATTTTTAGCTTCTAATGGAGTGTATTAATTTATTATATATTTTCCTATTTGATCTACAAAATCACACAATAATAAATCTCGTCTTATTATCTCGTATTAAAATTTTAGTTTTGGAATAGACTAGTTTAATGAACTCTATATGTATTCAGCATACAAGCAAACATATATGCAACATATAGCAGCACAGGCATACAAATTGAGCATGATTTTGATACTGCACTGTGTCTCTTTGTCTATGGTATTCCACAAATTGTTTGCCGCGAACTGTCGTTTTACGCGTATATTTAAATATATATACCACTTTTTATTAACGAATTGTAGCTTTATGGCATTTATCATCCGATTTTGCTCATTTCAATATGTGATTTATAAGAAATAAAGACAATTATTATATTATCATAAATTAGGTAAGATCCTTAAAAGGCGAATTATTATACAAGCGTCGTTTATTTTTAAATTTATATTTATTTGTAATTTCAAATTAAGAGAAGGATAATTTAGAATTTTTGTAATTAGATCAATTACAAAATTAAGATTTACATTGCATTATGAAAATCGTTCCGCTAACTGTATATGGAAGAGAAGATTATTGTTCTTTAGTTAGGAACATCATCTTTTGGATAAATTCCTAAAATAGCAATTTTATGTTTCTTTAATAATTTAATTTCGCATTTCATTATCAATATCCAGGTTTGAGTATATATATGCTTAATGTTATGATATTTAAAATTAATATTATTAGCGTTATGTAAACAATTTTATAATTTAGCATTGGTTGTTTTAAAAAATATGTCATTTATTCAGCTTTCATTAACAATTGTACTACGAAAACAATCAAAACTTTTATTTAATAATACTATCATGAAATACATGTTTCATATGCAGTGTAACATAGGTTTCCTATTGGAAATAAAAACATTAAAAGTTATCCTATCAACAAATTCCTATCTAATGTTTCGTATTATTAGAACATATTTTTTTTACTTCTTTATGTTATGATAAAAACGAGAATACTTTTACTTTTTTATGTGTTTAAAGCTTTTTTTAAATTTGTCTAAAAATGATAATTTTTTCTATTACAAGAGATATAAACGAATGAACCTAAATGTAATTATAAAACGTTGTATCCAATTTTATAGATTTTTTAATATAAGAAATGATTTTAAAAAATATTGAAACATTTAAAATGCTAAGCTAAGAGATATTTCAAAACGATAATAAGCCATATTTTCTCTTGTATCTCTTGATTACCTCATTTTTGCGATGATTAATTTCAATATTATTTTTATGTTAAGATGTGGGTAGTACCGACGCATTTTATCGATTGTATAAAGGAGTGACAGATTTTGAAGTCATTCAACGTAATAATCATAAATATATGTTTCCTCTGAATAATATGATGAAATATCATAATATCATTAGTTAATACATAGTGCTATAATGCGCAATTTATAAATGAATATGCTATTACGATCCGACAAGTTAATGTGTTTTAAAAAGTTGATGTCATTATTTTCATTTATAGAAAACGTAAAAGCTGATCTCTATAGCTAAATATTGAGTTTTTTTTATAGTAGTAATGTATATAGTGGTGCTATATTGGGTAAGATTAAACGGTAAGGATGAAATGTGCACATAATCAAAGATGGCTAATACTCTCAAAGAAATTTTACATTATTAGCATGTCTTTGATTTATGTTTTTAAATGTGATAACGTGTGTGTGCCCTTAATCTGTTTTGTAATACTTATGTTACTCAAGAAGTAATACCTTAATAATTTTTTTATGTTTTATATGTAATTGAAATCTTTTTCTCTAATTTTATGTGAAATTTGTTCTTGGATGGTATTGATAGGAATATACGTATCCATAACAAATTAGCATTAAATTGAATATTATATGTTTCAAATATTGTTTATAAGGTTGTACCTAGTAATAGTATTTTATCAAACATAAAAGTTCTAGAAACGTGCTGACTAGAATGGGTTGTATATTTAATTCAAATATGGGAGTGGGTAATGTTACAGATTATTTCAAAATATCAGCGTATGATTTGCATTCTTCTAAATATTATTTACTTAATATAATTAAATAACATTACTTGTCCACAGTAATTGAGATATACATATTTAGTTTGCACTTATAAATCATATTAATCACCTTGCAAATCGATTTAATGATACATTCAAAGTTTCTAATGGGGAGTCTAGCTAAAAAAATGTTTACTAGTATATTTAATTAGTTCTGATTACAATGGCTTCTCTCAGAAGAGTTAGACGTTTATTTAAATTTACTCAATGTCGTCGTCATGGTTAAATAAAACTTCTAAACATTATACTCTCATATGAATTAATTACACAAAGTGTAAATCGCTAATTCTGTTATTGGTGCTTACCAATATATTTCTGGTGTTATTGCATTCTACGTATGAGGTCCACGTGATGCATTAGGTGGTAACTTAACTCAATGTTAGAGTTTGTTTATATGAACAATGAGTCTTCATATTTGGAAAACGTTTTCATTTCATACTATTGAAATAACAAATGAGACTGCGTCTCCTCTCCTACCTTTGCTTATTCAGTATTTCGATAGAAGTATTGATTAGAAGTCGAATGTGTTTTTAGAAATTATTACAATTATTTGTTTTTTAATTTATTCCTAGGTTCCTAAACAATACACTAATAAAATATAAAGTTATCTTCGACAATTAGGTAATTTTAAAAATTAACAAAATTTGTAGATCTATAAATACTTTTAAAATGAATGTCCAGCTGCAATATAATAATTAAAATATAACTCAGTACTTGTGTTACTTTATGAAACGAAACGCAATCTATGCTGATCCTGGTTCAGCGTCTTCTCGACAATACAACTAGTTGTACAGCAGATAATAAAAGTAGTGTAGTGTAAGTGTATAAAATAATAATCGTTTGCCACTTGTGTAGACTCTCTAAACCGGCCAATGTTACACAAGAACAAGTATATGTTATTTTTATAACTAAAGTTGCCACAAGAACAGTAGATACTTAGAGCGTTAGTATACATAATTATACATAGATAAATAATCTAACATTAATCTCCAATGCTCAAATCGCATTTTGTGTATTATAGTTTAATTATAATTAATCATTAATGCATACTTTATTTTAATTAAATTTATTATATTTTTTCATTATTCGTAACCATTGTCATTTTAATAGAATTGTTGTATTTCTATATTAAGTATTATACTTATTTGATACTTGAAATGTAAACTTATGGTTTGTAAAAAATATCTACTTTGTATTTTTATGATTATTCAACGAAATTGTTAATTAAAATAGGTATGTTATTTGAATTCACTAGATATTTGATAACGGACCATAGGTTTTAAGTATTGTCAAATGACTAGTGTAAATCAAATGTAATGCAATATCGATAATTATATTTTTAGATAATTTAGCTAATATTTTTATGAGTGATAAATGTATTGATTTTTCTTATAATTATGTGCTTTCATTTCTAACTTTCCTTCACATAAAAAGCAAACAATTTAATTTCAATTAAAATTAAAATCAAAGGAATTAATGTGTTGTATTTTTTTCTTGATATGATTTAAATAGTTGAATATATTTGTAATTACAGATCTCAAAGTAAATATCTTCGCTTAAACTGCACTAGAAATAATGGCGATATTTCTATATTCAATATACAAAACTTGTACTGTATTATGGATACTAAACAACTGATAAACATACCCACCTTATGAATAAGACTTCATGTACATGGGCATAGAAGGCGATTGACTCGCCATGAAGGGCTAACTGTCGTCCTCCATCTACTTATCGCATGAGGGTGGACCATTCCATTATCTCATTTAAAAAAGTATACATATATAAACCCACTGGCAAACAATTATTACGATCTGGTTAATTAATACAGGTGTTGTATTCTTTCTTTGTGTCATAGAACCTGCGAATATATAAAAAAAATATTTGGCATAAACTTCTTCCATCTAAGCCATGAAATGACAGAAAAAAAAACTAATTGACATATTATTTTCGTGTGGACTGACTGTACTGACATCTTTACTTGACACCTTTATATTAAAAATACTTGACACAAACGTCAATTTAAACGTCACCAACGAATTCAAAATTCAACGATCTTTTATGAAGTTTCCTCCCCAATGTTCCTTCTTGTATTCTCAGAATAATATTTTGTATTTAGTAAAAACCATCGTTATTTATACAACCTAACTAATTAAATAAGTACTTGCGATTGTATTGTGTAGTAAAGAAAATGGCCCAGTTCAATTATTTGAACGAGCTCAACAGTTTAGCCACAATTGATGGGCCTTTAACCCGAGGTCCTCTCCAACGATGGGCTAAGAAAACTAACAATGAAAATCATAATCCTTCACTGAGTGCATCACATAAAAATATATCTAATGCAAACATCAGCTCTTGCAATCAGTCTATGCAAAAGCTGTCCTTATCGGCCAATCAGAGCTGTAACAATAGTGTGTTATCCAGCAATAAAACTCCTACAAGAAATGAGAACAAAAAGGGCAAGAAAACACCGTCAAAGAACAAATCACCAGGTAAATAATATTTGTACTAATTTAACAGCTCTTATCACTACACGAACAAAATAGTAAATAATACAACGAAGTAAATAGTAAATAATGTAATATATTCGTACTTCTACTATTGTTTCTTCATATAAAGTAGGCGCATTCCACGGCGCGTCTTAAAAATAAACCACTATGGGCATGTAGTGTGATGTTCCTCTAAATTATATGAAAATATAGTTTATCATGGTATGCAATGACATGATATAGTGGTTATATACATGTTACCTTTACAATTTCTTTAGTTACTTTTAATGATATATTTAAAATGACAGAAACAATTGAAATTGAATATTCATAATGTTATATCAGGACGATCAACAACACCTACTCCGAACAAAGCATCTAAGACACCAAACAAAGCAGACAGATTTATACCATCTAGGAGTAATTCAAATTATGACCTGTGCCATTATATGGTAAGTTCTATTAAGAGTTATGAGTTATCAATGATTTGTTGTGTTCAATTACTACATCTACAACTATAGTTGTAAGGATTACTATCAAATAACTTTTCTGAATAACTACTTCATATTGGAGATACAAATATTAATAATGAGGTTCAGTAATGTTTTTCTGCAAACAACATCAATCAACAATGAATCTAATAATGGAACATACTTCCCAGTTTTTTAAATTTATTACACTTGATAAATTAAAAAGCCACATAATTTAACAAGGATCTCCTTGGCAAATCACAACTAAATTGATAGCTTCTCATCATAAACTTTACTGATTATGTTTCTTTACCAAGGCGTTACAATAAAAATTAACTAATTATAACTGTAGATGAGCCGTGATGATGACAAAGGTGAAGAAGTAGTAGCTCAAACTGCAGCTGGAGAAGCTATAGGGCGAGCACTTACTGACACAGAGCCTGGAAGACTGCTACAGTACACTTGTAAAGCCCCCGCAGCACCAGAGGGCTATCAAAATAGACTAAGGGTTGTGTATTCACAGGTATTCAATACTAACTGCTGTCTGCACTCACAATTATAATAAATAGATTCCTCTCAGTTGCTAATTATGTCATTATTGTTTAGTATTTATTGGATATAATTAGGTTAGATACAGTGGGGTTGACATGTTTGGTAAATAAACCCCAAAATTTATTTAGATAATTAAAAAATATAAGTTTATTTTTTCTCTTCTTATTTTTTATTAAGTTTTTCATCATCTACTCAAATCAGAATAACTCTAAAAACCAAGTAGAATAGTTAATTCAGTTCTGTAACTATTAAGAGCTTATTGTAAAGCTTTATTACATTATAATGTATTAGACAAAATAGTGATAATGATTTTCTTTATTTAATATTCCAGGCAAAAGTTCCATCTTCAGTTAAGAATACAACTAGATATATACCACAAGCTCCTGACAGAATTCTTGATGCACCTGATATTCTGGATGATTACTGTAAGATATATTGTATTAAAAATAATTTAAAATTAATCATTATTTATATAGGATGCTAGTTTTGTTTGACAAAACAGTTTAGAATAGTTACTTTGATTGGAGCAAGCAAATGTTTTATACACATAGCACTGTATAAACTCTGAAACTAATCAATGTATTTTAATTAAACTTATAGCACAAAAAATTTTAGTCTAGGTACAAATGCATGCATGCAACCATTGCCATACACGTCATACAATAGTTTTTCATGTATGGGATTTTCATTTAATGTTAACACCTATATAAATACCTATACATTGTAAGTAATAGGTTGGCTCAGCTAGTTCATCTAAAGCTATATCAATGCAATGTTACATCAATCTCATAAAATTGATGTATATATATCATCATTACATAGTATAAAACAAAGTTGATGTCACTGTCTGACCCTATGTATGCTTAAATCATTAAAACTAAGCAACTAATTTTGAAGTGTCTTTTTTTAATAAGTAGAGTGATTCAAGAGGATGGTTTATATATACAATAGATACAATCATTGACATCCCTTTTACAGATCTCAACTTAGTTGACTGGAGTGCATCAAACATTTTGGCAGTAGCTTTAAATAACACTGTATACTTGTGGAATGCTATGACGGGACAAATAGAACAATTGTTAACTCTAGAAAGTTCAGAGAATGTGTGCTCTGTGTCATGGGTGCAAGGTGGCGGCTCACACTTGGCTGTTGGTACCTCATCAGCAACTGTTGAGTTATGGGATTGTGAACGAATTAAAAGGCTGAGGGTATGTACTATTTTTGTCAGCTGAATATTGATAGTGTACAGGGATGTGGACTTCAGCACTACTAAACAAAGATTAATATAATGTTGATGGTTTAAAGATACAGAAAAAAAAATCTAAATATCTTTTATACAATATAGTAAATCTTTTTTTTTTATTATTATTTTTGTCATGCAATCAGTCTTCCAGACTATAAGTAATATTGTAAATCTAACATGTCTATTATCATCCCTTACTTAAGCCATATTTATTTTGAGTTGAAGGAATGCAACACATATTTATTAAGTTTCATTGCATCACATTGCTAGTAATATCAAATACCTAGGAGTACATGCATATAAATATAGGTTATCATAACCAACCAAAATTTAAAATTTGGTGCCTTATCATTGATTACATAATTCAAATTTAAAATTATTGATCTAGAAGACCATTAGCAAATCTCAGTACCAGCTAGGGGCTGCCAGAGGTGCTATGGTCTATGCACAGTAGAGTTGTCCAACTATAGGAATATTCTGGTCTAGGTAATGGATGGGCACACTGGTCGAGTGGGATCGCTGGCTTGGAACCTGCACGTTGTATCGAGCGGCTCACGCGACGGGAATATAGTCCACCATGACGTGCGCCAGCGCGACCACGCTGTCGCCACAGTCCGAGCACACACGCACGAGGTGAGCTAACCAGTCTGGTATATTTGATAATTGTTAATGCTGTGGGAAAATTAGTGGTGGTCTAGTGGATAACGGTGCAAACATTTGTATTCATGAGTATGATTGTTTGTATATATTTACAAAAAAAAATCTAAGTATTTATATCAATTGTCTAGTTCGTACGTACGTATTTTGTTAGTGCGACTTATCGATTGTATCGTCAGCACAATAAAGTTATTTTAAAGTTGAAAGATAGTAACTTGAATTTTCTAATAGTCTACACCAAACTTATTTTGTCTACTGCCTACTTTGAGAATAAATTATTATTTAGCGCCCCCATTTTTTCACCTACTCAAAAACCACGATTACTTTAAATCAAATTAATCAATTATTGTGAGCTATATTGGCGAGGATTAAACATTAATACTAAACAAGACTTCTTGGTCTCCCTATTATGGCCCACTTTGGAAAAGGCTGGTCTAGATGATGATATTTTATAGTCAACATGAATATGATCCAAAAAAGCTATTTAATAATTTATACTGTTGGTAACTAATTTATATGTCTTGTTAAGTCTATATTTTTATAATAAATAGGTTGTTTCATGGTACATTAATCAGTAAAATATTTGCGACCATTTTTTTTTTGTTATCTCGTTATATTTGTCTTTAATCTCCCTCTTTTCCTTTACACAGATATTACCGACGTTGTTAGCTACTTTCAGATCAAAATAGTTTTCCGAGAACGTTTTCTTTAATATATAACATAAAAAACACAATTTATATGTGTTTTGATTCAAATTAATATTGTCGAATTTTTATGTCAAAATCGAGTTATTAATACTGAATTTATTAACTACTTCTGCAGATCTGTGGCCTAAAATGGTCGCCTGATGGTAGGTACCTTGCTTCGGGCGGCAATGACAATCTACTGAATATTTGGCCTATTGCTCAAGGACAACATTACTCTCAACCACAATATCTGTATTCATTCAAGTAAGTGAATGTCTATGTTCTATGAAACTATTAAATTAGAATTATTGAGTATGCTTATTTTCTCTAGAGACTGTTGGTTATGATCAATCTTTAGGGTCATTTTAGTAGAAAAAAATAAAGTTATTAATATTTTCTGCTAAATTTTCATACATATTAATATGTTAAGTGTTTTTAGCATCTGTGCGTAAGTAAATGTACGTTACAAAAAAAATCGTTCGATCGATTTACTATTCAAATCAGCAATTAACTTTTCCGAATATTATTTCAGTCAACATTTAGCGGCAGTCAAAGGAATAGCTTGGTGTCCTTGGAGCTCAGGCATTCTAGCGTCTGGAGGAGGCACAGCGGACAGAACTATACGCATTTGGAATGTGAATACTGGGGCCAATCTCAACACTGTAGATACAAAATCACAGGTATTTTATTTTGTTGCATTTTTTTATTTCTGTATATGTTATAGTTTCTTTTTTCCTTTAATGATCCACTATCCAGTGAACAATGTATTTTATTAAGTAACCAAAAATATTTAAATATATTTACCCAGGTGTGTTCAATTCTGTGGAGCACGCATTATAAAGAATTAATATCGGGTCACGGATATGCCAACAATCAGCTAGTTATATGGAAATACCCGCTGATGTCTCGTGTGGCGGAACTCACCGGCCACGTGGCACGCGTGCTGCATCTCGCGCTGTCGCCCGATGGAGTCACGGTAGTGTCGGCTGGCGCAGACGAGACTTTGCGGTGAGTATGGACTATATATTAAAATGTTGACACTTTGTAGGGAAATTCATCATTTTTGAAACTATAACGAATTTTTTTTCTTAGTAATATAATTAGCCTAAATAATTAAAAATGCTATCCAATGCAACTATACCACGCGCACGAAGTCGCCGGCACAGCTTACATATTACATACTTACATTAGTATGGAATCAACATCATATAAAATATCTACATACTTTTACCATTTTTCAAATCTTAGGTTTTTGTTTGCATGGCTTTTTCCGCAATCTTTTATAGTGCTCGTGGCTAACGGGCTTTATATTTTATTACACACTAGCTGTACACGCGATTTCATCCGCGTGGAATTGTAACTTTATTTTTCTAAAATAAAAGTAGCCTAAGTTACTCCTTATTGTATCAGCTACCTGCCAATAAAAGTTCCGTTAAAATCGGTCCATACATTTCAGAGATTAGCCGGAACAAACAGACAGACAAAAAATATAAAAAATGTTATTTTGGTGTATGTACCGTATTTATACTCATATATATTACAAACAGACACTCCAATTTTATTTCTATGTTTATATTTAACACTTCATCTTGATGAAGTGTTAAATGAGATGAGGGTATATCCGGACATGGATACATATTGAAAGTTACTTGGAGATTGTATTATTAAATTATATATTTCTTTCAGACTTTGGAAATGCTTTATGTTGGATCCATCAAAGAAGAAAGAACCCACAGATACAAAAGCTGCAAAATCAATACTTAATATGAACTCTCTTATTAGATAAGTTAGTGTAATAGTGCCATAAACTTGACTGAACAATCTAGTATTATGATTGAAAATTGTGATCAATTAGATAATTCTATAACTATTGTTTTAGCAGATATGCTCTAAACAACTTTACTGTTGGTTTAATTTCTATATTCTCTTAATCTTTATTGTTAACCCACCCAAGCATGCTACTATGATTTATTTTTAAATCAAGAATTATTTCTAAGTACATTTTGATTGTTTTAATCTAATTTCTTTTATTTGACTTAAGATATTTGTCATCGTTTTTCGAACATGTTTTGACAAAAATAGTGAAGTTGAGGTCGTCAAATGTGCCGCGAGCTTTTCTTCTTTCTATTTTCATGTATCTAATTTATCTTCTCTTCTAACTTTCACTTCACTTTAATATAAAAACATTTAATTACCTCTGCTTCCTTATTTTATGACCTTTATAGAAGTATTATGTGACTCATATCTTGTTTTGTTTTGTGTACTTTACCCTTTAAATATGAACTGATGTATAATCTTATTTTGATGAATTATTGTAATTTAATTTGAATTAATAAAGACATTCAATTGAATAGATATTTCATTATACTGTAACTGTTTCTCTATTTTTACACAACATTTTAAATTGAAGACGTGTTAGAATTGTATTTGGCACAATCAATATCTTAGGTATAATAAAAAAATAAAAATGCAAAGTGTGTAAAAAATATTTATTTACTAATCTTTTGTATATTGCAACAATTGGAATGTAAAAATAACAAGCAAAATCAAAAAGTAATGTGCGATTAAAAGTTTTATAAAAAAAAGCAATATAGTGTGATGTTAATGAAATAAATGTGGAAGCATGGTGACTAGAACTATAATAGCATAGAACACAAATTTTGTAATACATTTTTTTAAATGCAACGAAAGGAACTTAAAAGCTGCCTTTAAACATTTATATCTATCTGAACAACCATTGTGTCACTTAAATACTAAGTTCATTGTACTTGACGTACCTACATGGTACGGTGGTATGGTTAAAATCTGACATCACTATTATGAGTACTTAAAATTCAATAAAACTGTATACTAATAATATCTACTAATTATTTTTCTGGTGAAATACCAGTTCTATTATGCTCTAATATATATTCGTAATGTGACACTGATATTCAATAAAAACAAAAAATGTTTACTTAATCGCTAAAATCCTAAAAATGCAATCACACACAACTTGCAAACACAAATTCAATAATGTGTACAATTTAAAACTATGAGAACACATTTACTGTATGTATTCAATAATATCATAATACACCTATTCCGATTCGGTTACACCTTTCGTGATAAGCTCAGAGTTTATTGTATTCTTTATACTTATCTCTAAATGTAAAATTCTGTTTATACATTCTCTATTGTCTACCATACATTTAACTACATGGCTCATGAGGAAAATAACAATTCAAAACATGTAAATATTCTTAATTAAAAAATAAACTATTATAACTTTCTTAATCGATTTACTTAATAATAAAAAAGATCCGCGTGTATAAAAAACAGTTTCAATAGTTGACTTAAGTACAGTCCAATACAAAACTAAATAATATTTTAGTAATTTCAGAAGTCGTTTTATAATTTGAATTTTATTTTCTTAACTGTGTTAGTTATAATTTATTACATCCATTAAACTACAACATATTCCAATTTTATATACTATCTAACAATTGAGATTCATCCGGCACATACTAATTAAACAATCAAACAAGTATTTAGTATATAATGTAATGTACTATTGTCAAGAAAGTCATGTTTAATATTCTAACTACATCATTAACTCACTATGTCATGTAGGTACCCTATGTTATTCAGATCATTTATTTGCTATATACGTGACGACGGTATACATCATCCTAGATTTCGTTTCCTATTCCTTAATATAGAGATTTACTTATTATAGAAATCTTAATACAATAACACCGTCATTAAACGTAAGTTTTTATAAACAATTGGATACTCTTTAATACAGCGATTAGCAACACGGGGCCTGTAAAACATTTTTATGCGGCTCGCCAAGCATTTCTATAATTGAATTATTTTTTTGTGCTTTCTCCCATCAATATATTGTTATAAAATTAATTATAATAAAATTGTAATACATACTAAACAGAAATATTTCTTTGTGTCGAGTTACTCACTAATCGGTGTCTTGTTCAAACATGCAATAAGAACGTTTGCTTTGCATTAAAATTTGTATAGGAACCCATTACTTTTTTTTTTATTTTAAATGTTTTCATTCTGTGTTTATAATCATTAAAGTTTTGTATATTATTAATAGCTATTGCTTTATGTACGATTCGCCAAACAATTTTAAAATTTAAATTGGCCCGCTAATACAAAAGGTTGCTCACCCCTGCTTTAATAGATTGTGATGCCTCAAAGGCGGTTTAAAAATCATATCACAGAGGCAAGGCTACGCGTATGAGATGCGCCCTCGGTATCCAACATGTCCGACATAGCAACAGTATTGGATATGGGCTCCGCTTCACGCACCAACTGTTCATGGCTGTTCGTAATGGCGACGCCATATTTGAAACTCCTGCGCAAACTAGAGCGAATGCTCTTTGCAGAATCACTTTTTCTGACGAAAGATCTCCTGAGGTAGTCGCGTGTGAGTGAGAGAGAATTACGCGATGTCGATGATCTCGGTCTACTGATTCTTGAGTCTGTTTCGTCTGTTATTGTAATGGAAGGTGTCGCGAAGACGCCGCTATAATGTGGTGGTTGAGCTTCGATTTCAATTCGGTCCCGGTCGACCGTCTCGCTTAGTGTGATTGGTATTTGTGATGTTTCGTCTTGTTGCGGTTGTTCTAAATGGCTTGACGTTATCCTAGAACAGTAATATTTAACAATAAAAAAACTATTATCATTACAAAATAAATTCAAATTATAAAAAGAAAATTAGCTGTTGATAAGTTCACGTTGTTCTTAGTCCCATTGCTGCGCATCAATTGTGTGGAGGACATTTTCCCTGAACATTTCTTGTGAAATGGCCACGATGATCTAATTTCTTTTCTAAATTCACCCACCAGCATTTATTGTTAGTGCAGGCGGGTGCTTCATTCCATATTGACGACTTCGGTGGTTTAACAGTTTAAAACACCGCCGCCTTACTTCCGATGGACGCGAGTTCGATTCCTCGCAGGACACAAATATTTCATTCATCATTATTTATTATTCATTCAGATTATGGTCGACTGGTATAAAATGCAGCATGATGTTAAGTCCGCCAAATTTCAATTCATACGTACGTATTGTACTTTTGTATTGTATGAATTGAAATTAAGTAGATAAAAAACAAACCAAAAAATTGTATTGGTTTGCTCTATCATATGTCCAGTGTATTGGGTATACAAGCTGTGATTAGCTTGCAACTAATACTAGATGTATAAAATATCTGGGAAGTTACCTGCGCAATCGTCTGAAGCTACGCCGTATGGTGGTGAGGAGACGTGCGCCAGTGGCGGTGGAATACGAGGGTGGCGGCGTGTATTTCGGGGGGGGATCCGGGGGCGGCGTGGGGCTCGCAGGGGTTGCGGGCCCGGGGGGGAACGCTCGGGGCAACGACCGAGGCGGCGGCTGCTCGCTCTCTAAGCCCATCCGTGGCCGGTACAGATTTTGTATACGCTGAGAATTAAATTAGAGATAGGGTCAGCGTACACTTATATATATATTACTGCTTCGAAAGTGTACATTATCTTCTTATTAAAAACGAAAAAGATGATTTTTATTTTAAATTATATTTAACCAAAGTTTTTTAATTAGCGTTTGACAAAAATGTTCATTGTTTTAACTACTGCATAGTAATTAACAAAATAATACTAAAGTACTAAATCACTTTGCTACACATAAAGGAAAAGGAACTTTCAATAGTATAAAAAAATATAATTGTCTAAAATTTATAGAAAATAATACGTGGTAAAAATATTCAAGCAAAATTTCATGTTGCTTCTTAAACAACTTAAGTTTAGAATTTATTTAAAATATTGAAATAATTAATAAATATTCAATTAATTATTATTAATTAAGGTTCATCTAACAAGAAAAGTGTGACAATTCAAAATATAAACACACATATGTACTTACCAACTCTTCAGTACAATCGCTAGTTCCATATTCCTTTTGCGGCAATATATATAATAAAAACAGTTTACTAATTGAAACAGTAAGCTAATAAGCTATTACACTATCACATACTCGTATAAAACCATATTTATTATTATCTGAATTGACAAAATCGTTACTATGCTGCAATTTACAATTTTTGATGATATCAAAATAGCCCCATAACCTCATAAATCGATATTGCAGATTTATTCTTAAAAATAGTATGGAATTTAAAAAGTTATTGAAAACTTACATCAAATATATCGGGTGGGCCTTTACTCATGTACCGCCAGGTTTGTATGAAAGCCGTAATGGGTATGATTAGCAGGGTACCTTGCTGCATACACACTGCTAATTGGCGGGTCCATACCGGCCAGTATCTATATAAAGAAAATAAAAATATAGGTGAATATTATTCTTACAAACAAAATTAGTTCTAATATTTATTATTCATATTCAACTGAATGTTATGCAGCACATTCAGATTTCAATAACTTTGCCAAATGATGACACCGAAGGGTCGGAAGGTCGGTTCGATTCGCTTGGAAACTGCTCCCGCAATCTCTTATTAGAATAATAGTTATTTTTACGTAAGAAGCATACGTCTAACAGTGGATAAAAATATATGCTGAAAGAGAGAGAAGAGCGATAGCGTACCCTCCATGTTTCCTCCAAGAGTAAAATTGCCGCTGCTGTCCAATACGAAAGTCCATGACGCAAATGGCCTGAAATATGAAAAAATATTATATATAAAATGTTTCTACATATGTCCGTCATAGACTAAAACTTTCAAACCAATATGCCACTAACCAGATTAATTTCAAAGGCAAAGATGGGTTGAGACCACTAAAAAGATTTTTTACTCGTTACTACAAGTCTCATCGTATCCTAACATATTTACGGTAGCATCCGGTAGTATGTCATACTAGGTCTGCCCGCGGTTTCATACGCTTGAAATTTATAGTCTGTATTATTCTAATGTATTATTGTAAAGTTTTATTAAAATCTATTCAGTAGTTTTTGGGTGAAAGAGCAACAAACATCCATGCATCCGACAACACTCACAAACTTCCATATTTATAATATTAGTAAGATTATTTAGATATTTTATTAGATATAAAAAAATGTGCTTGCTACGTCAAAATCATATTCAAAAATAATTTATTCATGTAGGATATTTTAGCTGCTTATGAACGTCAAATTTTTATCCTTTTTTGACTGTCTACTCTTACTTGACATGCTGTAAATATATATATACTGACAGAAAATACTGCTGGTTAAATCCGCTAAATGTATTAAACCGCATTGCATTAAACCTGAATATATGTAGTTCCATAAATAATAAAATACTCACACATAGTACTACGGGCAAGACGACAGTCCAGGCGAAGCTGAGCAGCGCGGCCAACGCGGCCGACAGCTTGCGTCGCTCGAGGAACAACGCCCGTGCGAGCGTGTCCGGCGAGTAGGGCCGCCCGCGCACCGCGAACAGCGCCACCGCCAGCGCGGCCTGCGCGGCGCACTGCCACCACGCGCCCGCCCACACCACGTCCACGAAGTGCACCACCACCACGCCCGCCTGCCATACCAAACACAGTATTACTAATGCCATGCAATACAAAATCCTTTACCGCCATTTAATAACTATGCAGTTCGTGTAAGTGTATCTCACACCACGTCCGCAAACTGCACCATAGCCACGCCCGCCTGACGACCGGGACGTGTATTACTAATGCAATAGAATTGAAAATCCTTTACTACCCTTTAATAATTATTTATCTAGTTTATAATATATATGGAGTTCGTGTAAGTGTCTCTCACACCAAGTCCACGAAGTGCACCACTATCACGCCCGCCTGCCAACCGGGACACCGTATTAGTAATACAATTTATGTATGTAGTTAATAATATATTAGCTAACGGTCCCAGGTTCGCGCAGGTGGATTACAAATCTTTAAATTTATCTGCTTATACTATACTATAATGCTCGTGTATTACACATATATAACTTCCTAATGAATCAATTTAGCTATTGCTGAAAACTGTATTAATATGAGTTGCGTAATTAAAAAAACAAGCGAATAGACAGCGGTGACAACTATATTTTATACTATGTAAATGTATGTAGTTCATGTCATGTATACCACGTCCACGAAGTGCACCACAGCCACGCCCGCTGGCTGACGACCGAGACACCCTCTCAAATTACTAATGCTAAACCAATAAATAAAAATTAAATGAATCACTTACATCTGTACTGAGCAGGTAGCCGACGGCCAGTCCAAAAACGCAACTCAAAAATGTGATAGTGGTCTCCCAGACCCGAAGCCCTTCCGGGTTGATAGCCATAATGCCCGTGATGACGCAGTGCCATATAGCAAGCTGCTGAGCTATGCCGAACATTATCAAGATGAAGTAGAATATCACCGCCCAAGCTGGGGATAGCTAAAAATTTATTAATATATATTATAACAACATACCACTATTAATAAAAAATTTCTTTTTAAGTCTGTACACTTACAAGCAAAATATATAAACACTACGTATAACAGTAACAGTCACGCTTTCACAATAATGATTGATTTTATTATATTAGCACTTTGTCATCGTAATAGGGCAACCGCCGACCGCAAAAAAGTTTGATCAATATTTTAAGTCGCATTAAATTAATTTGGGTCAGTATTAGGACATCCATATTTATATAAAACTACATATATTAATGGTGATAATTAAATAAGACGTTGAAAACTTATAGCAAATAACTCTTGATTCGAATCATAGCTATTTCTTGTTACTCAATAGTATACATTATATCGGTCATACGTGTTCAGTTACCGTAAACGATTTGCTATGCTACAGACGCAGTCACTGTGACGGTTCGCCTAAGTACTCATTTTAGTTTTACGTCATATTTTGCATAAAATGGGCGATAAAAGGAAATAACAATAAAAATGTACATATTAAAAATATTCACTTCAAAAATTGTATTTGATAACTAAACATAGAATAAATTAGCATATATTCCGTTATTTAATTGACAAAATAATTGTAGTAGAAGCATCGTCTTATTTGATAAATAAAATACATAAAATAAGTTATATGTAAAATAGTACAAAATATTAAATAAAATCAATATTGTGTACTTAGCTTTCAACACCAGAAAAAGGATAGTTCGCTATAACTATCTATAGGTATAACATGTGTATCAAAATAAAGCCATTAAAAATTGTTAAATGCATATATGTAAACATGGTTACTAGCAGAAAAGACAATAGGGCGGCATCCTTTTGTGTTCGTCAAAAAGAAGGCCGACAAACACACTATCTACAGATATTACACGTGTGTTAAAAACAAAACTATTAAGAACTGTTAAATATTTTTCTGTAAACATATTTACTAGCAAATAGGACAATAGAACGGCATCCTTTGTGTTTAACAAAAGAAAGCCGACATGCTTGCATAGGATGTTCCAATTTACTACGTTGTAAGAGATCATGATTTAAATAGATAAATAGAAAACGACTTCTAAGGAATTAATTGTATTGAAACATTAGTTCAGGTTTTGATAATAGAAAGGAATTTATTAGAATTTCATAAAAACACAGTATGTAAAATAATAGTATCAACAGAATGAGCGGTTATATATGAATACTAACGTTTACTAATTATAATGATTTATTAAGTAAATTATAAATTACATTTTATTTTTATTACAGACTTTAATATTAATTACATATTATATATGTGTTTGCGATTTATTATAATGTTATATCAGCATTAAATTAATAAACAAGTAAATATATTATGTAAACTCGGTAAATGGTTGTTTATATTTTATATAAGAAAAATATTTGTAAAACAAAATAAAATTTAGGATAAAGAAAAGTGTTACAAAATAAATTTAAAAATCATCCTGTATAATTAGTGTGAAATGCCTAAGAACGAAGTTCTCACGTTGAGTTATGTTTAGATATATATATTTGGCAAAAACAAAGTCGATAGAAGGTTGTTAGGAAGGATGAAGAATCAAAAGAAAGGTTAGTCGTCGGCGAGCTTCCGTAGGAGTAACAAGTGTATATTTAACTTTTTTACTATTCGTAAATGAGGAGATTTTAGTAAGTGATTTTAATACTTTAATATCCGTTCTTGTCAACATATTGGTAAGTCATTTTAATTCTTTCACTTTATTTATTGTGCTCATAATATACTGTATGTCTGTTTTCATTTGACTGTATTATTGGGATATGTTAGATAAACTGCCAAGTTAATTAGGAAATGTACATGTGTTTATTTATTTTATGATTTGCGTGGAATTAATATGTTGACGAATACATTGATTTAGTTTAATTACTTATAATATAAAATTTAACGAGCATGGTTTATTTGTGTCTTTCTTATATTACGATAATAGTCTCAATTTGTACCTAAATCTGAGTTATATTGATTTATTTTCTTTAGTTAGGTTAAAAGGTTAGGAGTTTAATATTAAATGTGTATATTTACTCGTTAGATGCTAATGAATGTAATTCTGTTTTTTAACAGTTGTTGATAACTCTGATATTTTATATGAGAATTATATTAATAATAAATTTACTACGACTAAACTAAAAGTAAATTAAGGAAGTTATAGTAAAACCCTATTATACTTATAATGATGGCTAATAATAGTTCAGTTACTTATCAAAAATAAATATTTCATTCACTTATTTCAACTATTTATTACTTATTTCAAATATTTCATTATTCACACTAAATGTCTTGCTGTGTAGTGTTCCTTGTTTGGGATAGTAAATTACGTTTACTATTTCGAATATGTAGATATTGCATGGTTAATATTTAGTACATGTCTATATTACATTACACGGAAGATGTAGTGAGAGGAAGATCCTTGAGTCTTATATATATTTTTGCTGAAGGCTTTATTAGAAGGAGGCAAATGTTTGTATCGATGAATAAACTATTGAAGTAACATTTTCCAATAATTTATGATGATCAAATGTGAACCGTAAATCTCTATGGAGACTTTAGCAAGTAAGTGAAGTTATAATAAATAGGTTGTGGAAGTTTTTATCAGGAGGAGAGAGAGGCTCAGATCGATGAATTTATGATGAAGTCACATGTTCCATCATTTGAGGAGAGATGGGTCAAAGCTCGCAATGAAGGTTTTAGACCACGATCCCTGTGGAGATTTCTACAACCAGTAGGGACTTAACTTAGTTGATAACACTGTGGTTATCTAGGACACACACCCTAAGTTTTACCGTATGCATGTTGTATGGCCAGTGTATCAATATAGCGATATGTTGCTACTCTGGATATGCAGCATTGTGTGGGTAAAGTTTAGGACGCATTACATTTATTATATTACAACTTATTATACACTGCACAAATTAAATAGATAATTAATAAATGAATTAACCCATACGAAGATTATATACATTCCACAAAAGATGTCGCTTGGGGGTTCTGGTTACCGAAGGCTTCACTGGAAGGAGGAAAATACTTGTATCGATGATTGAACTATTGAAGTGACATTTTCCAATAGTTTTTGATGATATATTATGATCCGTAAATCTCTATGGAGGCTTTAGTAAGGAAATATAATTTCTGTAATAGTTGTGGAAGTTTTCATCAGGAGGAGAGAGAGGCTCAGATCGATGAATTTATGATGAAGTCACATGTTCCATCATTTGAGGAGAGATGGGTCAAAGCTCGTAATGAAGGTTTTAGACCACGATCCCTGTGGAGATTTCTACAACCAATAGGGATTTCTGTTTAGTTGATAACTGAGTGGTTATCTAGGACACACACCCTAAGTTTTATCGTATGCATGTTGTATGGCTGGTGTATCAATATAGAGATATATTGCTACTCTGGATATGCAGCATTGTGTGAGTAAAGTTTAGGACGCATTATATTTATTATATTACAACTTATTATACATTGCACAAATTAAATAAGTAATTAATAGACGAATTAACCATTGAATATAATTATATTAACCAGCAGAAGCAATAGCAATGCGGTTCACTATGACTTCCTTATAGATATGTCTTGCATTTCATAAATAAAGGAATTGCTAAATTATAATATAGAATTATTATATTGAAGTATAAGAATGCATTTATTAGATCACCACATTGAGATTAGTAATATTAAGTGTATATGCACTTAATGTTGTAACAACCTTTATGTTAAATATATTTTATATGAATAGCATAAATTAATAATTAGAGTTGTAAGAGATTACATTAATATATATGTAACTGTGAATATTGTAGGCATTGGGGGGGTTTATTAGATGAATTCTGGGAGGTTCCCAGAAGTAGTGAAGGTGAGTGTTAATGCATTCTAAAAGAGCTCTTTAAACCTACACCCGAGTCACAAGTCTCGGGCACCACTTGTGGTTCTCTCCCTGAATCATCAGTGGCCGGTATGAAGGCTAATCGTCATCATAACTAGTGGGTTTAATAAACATGTACATATAAAAGTATAATTGCTAATTAAGCCAGTATTATAATAAGACTATATTGTTTCTTATTTAATAAAACTACAATGTAATAATATATAAACTAACTATAAATAAGACATGGGATCTTAACATCTCCAGTCATTCCTATCAATCACCCATTGGGCAATCGGATTCATGTGGGCGATGCATTATCAAAATTATTATATAATTTTGAATATATTGAAATACAAGACCAACCATATACATATAGATATCGGTAATAATAATATTACATTTTATTCTACAATCAATTCTAAGGAACATCGGTTCTTTATTAATTAATATATTTAATATTATTCTTCTTGTTCCAGTCAATTCAATAAAATAAAGGTTTATTTTAAGGTCTTTGGCCTTAATAATAAATACTAATTACTAGAGCGTAAATATTCAGTATAATAATATTAGGACTCTTAGTCCTTTAATTTATATATACATATTATATGTGTATATATACATACATATATAAATATAAATACATACACATAATCACATCTATGGCTTCGGTCCTCAATGAAAATATATTTTATGACTATCCATTTTATGGCTAAACATTTTATCAATTACCAAGCCTTGGCTTTTATATCCAGGACTCCGGTCCTCTATCATATCGACTATCCACCTAGTGGTTGTCTATACCTAACAATCATCCAGGTCACAGACCTCTGTCACTATTATTTATATTATTATGATTATTTCACTATGTGATTAATCAAATTCTACTGATTACTATATCAGGACATGCAGTCCTTCTACAAACTAAACATTACCTTCTGGTTGATTCTTTATGTGGAGCATCCAGACATCTATTTTCAGATATGGGACTTATAGTTCTCGCTTATAATATCTCATCAATATAAAGATTACTTCGCCATGCAAGTAATTCTAATTTACATATAATCAATCATATTAGAGCCCAGCTCTTATTCACAAATAT